GACTGGATATTTCCTGCTCGTTTGTTAATAACTGTACGTTAGGGCAATGAGACGACGATGTCACGGACGCTACTTATCGAGTCCTTGTCACTTGACACGCTCCGCCGAACACGATGCTTAGATCGCGTTAATTATCCACACATGTTTGTCATGTTCGCACCTTTCTGCTCGTACGCTACCACCCATGTAGAGCGGACTTTTTATTCTCGCGATTTTCAAATTGTCAGTCCGCCGTATGTCGTAAACGTTTTCTATTTTTAGATTTCTTGACATTCGCGATAATGCCAATTAAGTCGCATTCATTATCCATATCGCAATTTCCGTGAGAGTTTTAAATTTTTCCTCGTGGTTTAACGCACTCCACTTCTATTTTAATAATTTAGTCGCATTAAAGCTTTACGATTTAAATTATAACCAGGCCTCGTCATCTCGTCCGTTTCTATTCTTTACGTGTCATAATGGACATGAATGTTGAAAATCTGCGGAAATCACATCAGAATTCAGGTGAGTCTACGCGACGGTAATTTTAATGCTTTCGAGAACTACTGTGAGTTATCTTCTTATCACTTGATGAGAACCGTACGTCGACATTAATTATTCATTGATATATCCACGATGCTCGATCAATTATTCGCTGCTTTTAAAACAGTTTTCCACCAAGATAATTTCGATTACCGAAAAGAGGACTATGGATAGCTATGGATAGCTTTAAACATTTTTTTAGCGTTGAGAATTTAAAAAAATGAATTTAAAAAGAAAGTTAAATATATGTGACTTGTTTCTTCTTGTCGAGTTAACTAATGGATTAAGATTTAAAAAGAATATCAAAAAAAATTGAATGGTATTAGTTTAACGAGATTCAAAAAAGAAACTCCGTAAAGTTCACACTCATCTTCTTGCAAGAATCTTTTTGCGCGATGCGATCCCAGTAAGCCGGACGATCGCGTTTCGATCGATATCGCGCATTTTTGCTCGCTCGCGATTCCCGAAGGACAGGTGAAAGGACGACAAATTGAGCTTACGCGTGTCACGATTCAAGACGCGACTTCTCGTCTGATTATGCATCCGACACTTTTTCGCGAATACCGTCGCATCGAGGTTTTCTTTTTACACGGCATTCCGCGGCGAGAAATTAAAACCTACCTCGATAGAGATATTACCGAGAGGGGGAACTCTCGTTCGATGGATTTACCGTGGCGATTATCCCAATTAACCGCGTACGCCCTTTCAGTCTCGGTTTGAACTACGAGCTCAAGTGCCACCTGCGGACCAGTTCCCGCGGTGCGGTTTTTGAGTCGCATCGCATTCAAGTAAGACGTTAAGTGCATCCCATACGTTTCCGGAGAGCGTTACGGCCGTCTCGCAAATTCCCATTAGCGGACCTCGCTCTTCCCTTCATCAACTCCGACTCGTCGCTCCGGCATTAAACGTCCAGCAGGTTTTTCTCCCAGTCGGCCACCGCTCCGGTGAATTTGACAGATTCCAAACTAGACCTTTTACCAATATCCTCGATATTTACTCCTCTAATTTTGGAGAAACATGTTTTACTGTTGCCAGCTTCATGTGAATTTGAACAAATAAAGACTCTTTTAAAATTCTCTTATGTAAAAGAATTTTTAAATACTCATAATTTAAGAATTGCGTTTTTCATTATGAATTTTATTTTTCATTGAGAATTTTACGAATTTTGCGAATCGTATGTCAATCGTTTAGCTTTCTCTCGTTAAGTACAGTACGTTTGAACGAAGCGTTAAATACATTTTAGCCTGTTGATATATACGCATTGTGTCTCGTTCTGGTTAGTCTTTATCGATCGTTGTTCTTTTGGACGGTGTTAAGCGTCGACCGGCTTTTTCTTTAAATTGCTCACCACACCATCGAATTCGGCAGATTCCAAACTCTGGCTTCTGGCTATTGTCACCGTTCGTCCATATTAGCTCGCGCAGTGTCGGCGCGGGAGAGACCGAAGAGATTAATTAGGGACGATGTTTTAGCGGCAAAAATGGGGAAGGGGAGTAGAGGGGGGGGGAGGCGAGACAAGAAGCGGCAGCATCAACAGCCGTCTTAAGTCGCGCTAACTAACTCGGCAACGCCACGAGACGATCGAGAATGGACCCCATCGCCCCCTGTCTGCAAGAACGTGCTACAAATTAAGTGCGGATCGGTTGAAACCATCTCGAAAATTTAGCCGCCGGCTGTTGCTCTCTACGCTTCATTGTCTGTACGCTTCATTGTCTGTACGCTCGCGAACAGAGACAGATGATAAGTTTTCATGCGCTGAATCCAGTTATTTCCGAACGCATCCGATAAGAGATACATAATATTAAGGGAAACGTTATCTTACACAATTTTAAACAAATCACGGATATTTTTAAATTAAGTTACATACAATTTTGTTCGCGTATTTTTTTTTTTTTTTTTTTTTTTTTTTAATATAATATTAATATTCATGTTTGATCTGTTTAATTTGCTTATACGAGTTTCATCATTTCACTCTCACCGTTTACTCCTGTAATTTAATGTTGGAGCAAAGTCAAACGAATCCAATATGACGCGCGGAGAGTAGCGTTGCTAATAAAATATATTAATGTTTTGGCGAGAGATAAAAACATATTTCACTCATAAGAATGCCACTTTATGAAACTTGATTTGTTTAACACGCGTGGCGACGAAGAATCGTATTGTAAGGCATCATTGGGTCATTGTTCTCGCGATTGGGGATGATATTTGAATCTCACAGAGAATGATATCGATAAATCGGTATTATTTTCGAAATTTGTATCGCTTGAGCAAATCTCTTCCTTGGCAACGGTTAGTGATGATTATTGTGCGATTTGTGGTGGCCGACTGTTGTCATCGCGTCATTTATCGTATTCATCATATATTTCGTTGATAATATTTTACATACGGCCAATTCTCATCCCTCTTCGTGCGCAGACCCGTCACTCCCACCGTGTCACGAATTCCTGTAATTGTTAATTTATTTCTCCGGTTATGCTTCCACTTACCGTCATTGGTTCTATTTTCATGGCAGACGAATTATTGGCATCCTCGCAAGAGAAACCGCAAGAATAACCATTGTACGGTTTGTGTTTCATCTGTAGAAGTTTGTCATTATTTAAATTTAAACAAAGTTATTTTCCTTCCTAGACAGAAAACGTTGACAGCGTTTGTTCTATCGCAACTGGATTAGTAAAGAAAAACTAATTATTCTTGCGGTTCTTGGTATTATTTAAATATAGATAAAACTATTTTTTTTTTTTTAGAAGTTGAAGCATTAACAAAACTTAGCAGAATTAATAATCGATTTTTCTATTTTTCAAATTCATCTAGCTCTCTTAGTAATTATGAAAAGTTTAAAAACAGCATAAAAATAAACAACTAGTGTGACTTTAAATTGAGGCATAGATCGTCGAATATGTTACGCCACTTGACTACAAGATTCCGGCGCGCCTTCTATTCATTTAGCGATAACTGTGGCTAAAGCAATTTTTCTTTCCTCGGTCGATCGGCTGCGAGAGAAACGGCGGGCCTTCCTATCGGCAGGAAGTGTTCGGCGTGCCTTTTATCGATCGATTCGCCATGTCGATCGGCAGCCAAGGCGCTAATGGGTTAGTCAGCTCGGACACGAACTCGCTTCGCCGCTTGGAACGGCGTGCAACCGGCCGTAGAAGAGAGGATGGAGCATACGAAAAAATGTCCGCGCTCTACCTATACCTATCTCCGTTGCATGTTGCGTACGTGTATGTGCATACACATGCTATACATGAATATAGTGACTCGACTATCACGGCGGAGACACATAGTCGCGACCAAAGGATAATAAATACAGATAGACGAAGGTAGATATACGCGGGCGCGAGGAGCGAGAAGCTCGCGGTGTGTGTCTTTTGCCCACGCGGAGATTATCTAGAGGAGTTATGAGTGACCGTTTCACGTCCCAGTTTTAAATAAACGCTGTCTGTGTGTCATATCGAACGCTGTTCCTTGATTTTCGTGCGCGTTTAAAACTCGTTCCCGTGTCGATTCTGTGTCACGCGGTATTGCGTATTATTTGCGTCGCGTTGTCTCTCACGAGATATTTCTCTTGGCTATCTCTCCGCTCTCGACCGCGAAAGCGAATTCTTTTGGCGAACGCTGTCACTCCCGCCCGAGCGATATTTCTCGAATTACAGCGAGCGATTAGTAAGAACGGATATTAGTCGGCGGCACGAAGCGCGCCCGTTTGTTTCGTAAGATTTCACTCACTCGCACGATTGTTTCGAGCACCGGCCCCGGTCTTTGGTTATGATTTATCGCGATTTATTGCCGCATGCTTACGTGACTCGTACGCTCGCAATAAGGCAATTAGACCCCCCGATTCTTTATTTAATAAAAAATGATACAAATTGTAATTTCCACCAACTTGGGACGAGTCGGCATTTTTTCAGCATTCACCGGACAAAGTGCACCCGTGGTAGTTTCTACTTTCATCTCTCTATTCGCATGAAATCACGGCGGAGAAGAATGCCATTCACGCTCTTAATCCTCTGTTGCACAGAAAGCGACTTTTTCCCCTTTGAAACGTTCTTTAGCGTCGTAGCGGCAATTAACGTGGAATTAGTCGTGTGTACACACGGTTTTCTTATTATGCGCGTTGCGCATAAAGTCATTCGGCGCGGCTTTTAACCGAAGACTTGAAACCGCAAACTATACACATACCGTGAACTTGAACAGAACGATGACAAGGCGTAAGTATTGATGTAATAACAGCCGTGTATGTTATTACATCAATATTTTCTCAATATTTTCTGTGATATTTGACTCAAAAATAAAAATGCAAATAATTTTAACTTTAAAAGACTCGAAATATAGTACGAATCAAATAAATACGAGAATGAATATTATATTTAAGTAATAATACACGCTATATTTCAACATTAAATAATTGTAATTATTTTTATATAATCTCTATTTGAATTAACATGTATTGAACGTGAATATTTCTATTTTTGTTTCAGATGCAATGGGTAAGTGAATCTTTCTTCAAGCAAATCAGCATCGTTGGTGAGCATAACAGAATTAAGGGTTCTCCCTTCTTCAAGGAAATAATTGTAGAAATCTTTTGGTCATGCTGGCTGCGTGCGGTTTAATTATCATAATTAACGAAGCGGAGTGAAATTAACGATTCTCGTTTGAGAAAACTTCACGTTTCCGTTTCATCATTTTTGTTCGAGAAAACTCGTCGATTGTCGTGAAATCGTTCAGTTCGTTCATGTGCGCTCATGTGCGTGTCGTGAAATTACCGTCGCTGTCACGAAACGTAATTGCATGCACGTGTGAACATGTGTGATACGGTCGCGGGCATAATTAAAAACGGTTAATATGAAATTCCGGGATGTTAAGAGGCAAAAATTAAAATTAAGCATCGCATATGAAATCCATAAATGTAAAAAATTTGTTTTCCAAATTTATGTGATTTAATTCCCGCCGCTTTTATTTCGCTATTATCTGCTATATTTGTGGCGGAATAAATTAAGCGCAATTAAATTTAAACACATTGCGAGCATAAAGTTTACACAGGTTTAAAAAAAAAAAGCCTTTAAACTGGGTATATAAGTGAGGAGAAACGGCGATCACTTGATTCAATAATAATCCTCTTAATGGATCTTGTCGGCTGTCGGCGACACGGTCCGAACGACGAGGATCGATGAGACGATCTTACGTTACCGATCTGTTACGAGCGCAATGGCTACTCTCTTACATTTCTTCTTCTTAATTCCCTCTTGTGCGTGCGGCGCGAGCCGCAGTAACGAGGCGGTTCGGCTTAATTAGATTAATTAGATTGCAGGCGAGGCGGATCGCGTGGAGGGCGTTCGACGAGATCGAGCTTTCTGAAGATCTGTCGTTAACTACCATACATTAACGTCGTCGAACGATCTCTTTCCCTTTTTATTTCCCATTTTCTGGACAATGTTGCTCATTTTACACGAGCATCGCAACATCCCCCCCCGAGAAACGTACAACTAATTTAAAATTTATCAAACCTTTGAAAACGTCAATTTACGCCCGTCTTTTCTGGAGCTAATGGTTTCCGTTATGCGGTTTAATTATACCGCACATATATTTTACACTCATTATATACTATACTCGATTACTCCAGTAATCTTTAACATAATATTTAATGCATAGGTAAAATCTGATGGTTCTCAAGAATGGTAAGCCATAAATATTAATATTTTATATTGTTTTTGCTATGGCAAACGGAGTAACGACACAGCGATCTATTAGTAACACCGAACAATAGTAAACGGAGGATAAACGACATATGGATAATAACAATCTTGAATTGCTCTCATCTTTCCATAGATAGTCCTTACAACTTATGCAAGTGTCATTAATCCTTTAGCTAACTACAAAAACTCATATAATCAATCTCAGCCAAATGATAGATATCGTTATAGCTATCTCATTAGTGCTTTAGTACCATCCAATTAAATCAAATTATGTCAATGGCATGTAATTTAATATTACCGCTAAGTGTTTAATTGCTACGTCTTGATGAAATTATATGGGCAGAGTACAAACATTATTATCAAATTAAGTGAATTAATAAAATTTATAAAAGGAATTAAAAGTGCAACGTTTTGAATATTTTCTATGTGTATGAATAGTCATTATCATTTATTTTATGCGTAATAAACATTTGACAAATTGTCACTTGATGAAACGTATACTAAAAAAAGCGTAGAAGGTTTCATTTTGGGAGATTGAGTTCCCCTTCTCGAGTGGTTACCCACCCGCCAGCTAGCCGATAATTATCGGAGAAGTGAAACGAAGAAGAAGAAGGCGCGATGTACGGTCAAGCTCATCCAGTTCAGTCGAACCTTTTCTCGTTGCAGTGAGCAAAAAACTTTTCGTTGGCCCCACTTTTTAGTGGTTAATTAGTTGCATTTTTTTACGATCACGCACACGTGCAGGGGCGAGTCGACGAAATGGAAGGGGGAAATGCGATCGAGGGAGAAAAATATAAGAGAGAAGAAGAAGAAGAGAAAGAGTAGGGAAGAGGAAAGGAAGGAAGAGTTGGAGAGGAAGCTTTGGAGTTAACTTTTAACTTGGGCAGTCGCTGAGGCGCTGTGCGCATAATGTTTAGCACTGTGCTTTTCAATCTCGCCTCTTTCGCCTCTTACACGGGACACGAGGTGAATCTTTCGACGTTATTTCCGCAATAAGACGTGTACACGAAATACGCACACTCGCCACGTTCGAACATCGCCGCAACGTTTAAAGTGTGTAATTACCAGTCGTGACTTGAAGTATTCATTAACCCTCGCAGCAAGAGGCTTCTTATGAGCCCACGGTGGCTAAATAGATCGTTCAAGCGTGCATTAGTCGCGTTTGACCACGAACGGTATTTGATCGTCCTCAGATATCAGAAAATCGGTGAAGTAACGTCGATCCGCGACTTCCATCGTATATGAGACATTTACATATAATTTAATAATGTAAATGGTGAAAAGAAAAGTAGTAATAATATGAAAATGAAAGATGTTTTGGCTTATGAGTGTTATCGCACTTCTATACGTAATAGTATCAAGGACTAATTGCTTCAAAATTCTGACAAGTATAAGAAACATTCTTCTTTACGCGTATACATACTCCGCGTTGTGTGCGATGTTAGATAGGTGAACGTAAGGAAATTAAAGGAGGAGTGTACTAATTTAATACATGCGTTCGCGTTCGACGATTCGCATGAAATTAATTTCGTGCCGACGCGTCGTGTCCGAGGGAAATTAATTTCGTACCGTTCGTCCTTATAAAAATATGATTATGAACGGCTTGTATTACAAGCGGCTTAAATTGAGCGCGGCGGTAAATCAAGCGTGGATGGGCGGTTAATTAAAAAATTCGGTAGTAGCCGTGAAAGGTTGAAATTAAATTTTAAAGATAAGCTGCGATTAACGACGCATGTTTATATCTATTGGATACTAAGGCCGATTGGATCTGACGTAACGGTGGCGAATTTTGGGGAAGGTTCGTCGACAAGATAAAACGATTTGGACGAGTTGATGTTGCTTTTATATGGCTTGTATATAACAGTAGTTTTCTTCTCGTTTCGATTTTACATCGATTTTACATCGATATATGTTTCCTTGCATTTATAAATTAAGCATCCTTGCATCGCTACAATCATTATCTTGATAATCTATCTTTTCATTCCGCGTGTTAACTTTTTAAACGAATATCCGATTATAATTTGCATTAATAAAATAGATATGGTTTCATGGGAGATCGGAAGATATAAAATGTGACAGTCACTGTTTGAATTAATTCGACATAACTAAATTCGTAACGACTAACGAGTTGTCAGAACGCCCGCATCCTCGTGCCCATTTCCTGCGATAACGCCTATACTTATATGTATTAAACGGACACATCGGAGATGCCGTTGCCTTCGCGAGACCAGTGGGATGGATAAGATAAGAGAGACCCTTACTTTTTCGATTATTGACCGTTCTCGGCCGCTCTGAGGACTCTTTGGCACCTCGTTTCGCGATGCAGAAGCTTCCTCAGCTGCACGTCGCACGTTTCCGAACCGAGTAATGGCACGTTTGTCCGATCGTCCGACAATTAGAATGCAAATCCATGGTGTTCGCGTATGCATATGCACGAGATGGTTCCCGTAGCCATTCGCGGCTCGTGTGCAGCTCTATCCGTCGGATCTCGGGCCTGCCGAGGCCCATTCGTCCCAGGCACTTTTCGGCACGACCTGTTGATTCCGGCCCCAACTTTAGCACGTCTTCGGTCTCGAAATTCGACGCCTTTTATAACCCTTTTATTCCACGAATTGACGAGGATAAGAACCCGAGGGTTCCCGACGCGATAGCGCCGAGAATCCATTCGGACGGTCGATGACGCGTTCGAACGGATGCCATCTCGATGGGCTCTCAATGGTCCTCATGGCATGATTAAAATTAAATGCCACTTTCGAAAGTTTTACAAGTTCGCGATGCCATCATTCGGTGACTTACTTTCGGTCTCCCTTATTATTAAGAATAAATGGTACGAAATGAGTCATGGTCACTACCGAGTATCGTGAATATAGTGACTGTTTAAATATGCGCGATTAATGTATTCGGAACGTTCTGCACACGTGACAATAAAAATGTCATGTTGTTACGGTTAGTCGTTCTCGGCTCGGTTTTGGTTCTCTTGATGGCGATGGTAGCTCAAGTACAAAACCATAAGTGCTCGTTCACGTTTGGCGATAGAATTTCTTACGACTAGAAATACGACAGTATTAAAGTCGGTTTTACACCTTGTCTTGAAATGGCTACGAGCCGGTTACGGACGTCGATCGCGGCTATGCGCTAGGATTTTCTTCACATACATATCGCGCTCGATCTCTCAGAATTTACTTCTAACAGCAGCGTCTTCTCAGACTTTTCCAAACGGCGGGAGCTTCTCGTATACGTGTCGCTTCGAATGGCTCGAATTCCCAAAGCTTTTTTCTCTTATCTAATGATAAAAATAGATTCCTTTCGCGATTTGTTGTCGAGGCCGCGTTTTCCTTCGATCTTCACGAGCTCGGTCGCATCGGTTTCACATTTTCGCGACGTTGTCTCTTTGCAGTCAGACGATTCCGTAACGTCGCACGGTCTGCGGTCGTTCGACAAATAGATTACGTGCTCGCGAAGGGTATTCTATTCGTGGGGTGCCCGACCGCCCTTCTTCGCCCTTTCACACATGCCACTCACGTACTCATCCGCGTTCCGGGTACGTCGTATCCACCAGAACCGTCATCCGACGCGTTCTATTCTCTATTCCGTCCTCTCTCTTTGAAGCTCCTCTTCAAAAATTGCAACGCGTTAGCACGAAATCCACTAACCATTTCATTATTAAATCTGTGTTCGCATTACATGGGCATAGGGACGTCGCGGCGTCATCGGCATTAAAATTCACGTCACGCTGGAACCGTCGAAACGATGAGACACGAGCTTCTCATCGATATGCCGGGACGGATTATGCA